CCTCTGCACAGTCTGTCCTCAGGAGGTGTCCTAGATGGTGCTGGAGCTGGACTGCAGGGATCTCAGGCCTTTCCTGGAGGAGGATCTCCAAGGGTGGGGGCACCTGGAAGGGTCCCCTGTGAGCACCACTGACAAGCTCTCTACCCAACCCCACAGGACTGAAGATTCCTGAAAACAGCAATGTCTTCTATGCCATGAAGTCCGACTGCCCGTATAACTTCATCCTGAAACAGCAGACCTTCCTCAGCTGGCTGGATGCCAGTCACTGATCCTTGCCAAGCCTCTGTCGCTAGAGGGAAAGAGGACTGAAGGCTTTTGAAAGGCACCCGCTAAAGCCACCTTGTTGGGATCTGGCTGGACTAGACTGGCGCAGACTCTGCCGGTTACCATCTGCCCACCTGGAAGCCCAGGGCACCCCACACTCCTGTCTCACCTCAAACCGCTCCCTCTCTTGAATCAGCACCTGGTCCTTAACCCACTCACTTGGTCTCTGTAAAGAGATATTTCTCCGTTTCTCCCATGCTAAGGTTTTAAAGATTATATTTTTTATTGAATGAAACCAGGTGTCTCAGTTTGTGAAATTTGCTTACATTGTCTACATATGAACACATATCTGAAAGTATTAAGCCACTGTAAACCCAGAAAACCCAAACATTCCTCCACTTTAGGGTTCCAAAACAGTCACACAGCTTCCCTTGGTCTTTGGCCTAATGAGGCAACAATCCCTGGAAGAAGGAAGACAGAAGAAAGACTAACTGTCTTTTGAGAAATGAACTCTATTTCTTCCCTCATTTCCCAAAATTTCTATGTCAGAAGAAATCTAGAGTCAAAACTTCCACTTGGGATCAGGATTTTCTCCGAGCCTCTTCTAGAGCCAGGCGGCTAGAGATCCAGTAATCCACCTCCTGGTGTCAGGACCATCTCAGGCAGTTCAAACTCAGTAAGTAGCACAGGGCTGTTTGTAAAACATCTTCTGTCCTAGAGACAGAGCAGGAGAAAAGAGGACAAGGAATAATTCCTGATCTGG